AAAGCATTTTATGTGACTTTAGCACATAAAGTCCTACAGTGATCTATCACCAACTCAGAATAAACTTTTACTTTAGGGTCCCACTGAATCTCATGCTAAGCTGATTCCAAACTGTTGCTGGCTACTTCAACAATTTATGCAAGTGAAGCAAATTTGAATGAAAGCATAGATTGCTTGTGCCATAACTGAGCCTGATGCATGATGCTGAGTTGAAAATAAAGTAAGGCACAAGTAAGTGTATGTGTGTGTTTGTGTACAAGTCTGGGTCAACTACTCTTTTACAATGTAATATGTGACTAAACCCTAAAAACGTACTTGGTTTAATGAAAGACACTGGAACAAAACCCATCGTTCTTAATGATGATATTGCTTTGAGTTTGCTGCTATTGCCAATGAAACCAAGAAATATATCATACAATTATAATCTCACAAAATAAAATAATAAAATAAAATCCAAAATAAAATATGGATGCTGAAAGCAGGGGAACAATTTACTGTCTTGTGAATTAATAACTACTTTTATCTGAGTTAGGAGTGATTTGATTGAGGGGTGAAGCCTATTTCTTTATGTGGACTTGTGGACTTCAACTCCCAGAATTCCTCAGCCAGCGTGCCTGCCTGAGGAATTCTGGGAGTTGAAGTCCACAAGTCACAAAAGGGCCAAGTTTGAAGACCCCTGATGAAGACGATTAATAAAGACACCATTGCTTCCATATTAAATGAATCATTCATGTTAGGGGCAATGAGAATAACACATAATTGGAGGAACAAGGTGAAATGAATCTGAGGCATTTTCCCAGTTATCCAAAACTTAAAAAAAAAAAAATGAATGCCCCTATTATATGAGCTGAGTTTCATAATCTAGATTTGCACTATTAGGAACATTTTAGTTCATCAATTAGGAATGAGCAAAAATTATATAGACATTATTTAATAAGCACTCTACTGCATAACCTGAGATTCCAAATAATTGTGTGCCCCACCCCAAAGTTTTGACTATGAGCCCCCAAATCAAAAGTTGTTATCAAGTTGTATTTATATTACCAAAAGAGAAAACGTTAACTATATTAACTATATTTAATTTGAACTAAATTTAGAGATGAATTGAATTAAAGCAATTTAATTAATTTAATTTTTTGTTGTCCCAATCCTGCCCTCTACTCGTTTTATTTTTTTCAACCCAAATGTGCGTCAGAAAGAAATTAAATAAAGGGAATATCTGTCCATTGGTCCATCCATTAGCAGAGTAACTACAGAAATATAACAAAACCAGACAAGAGAGAGAGAGGTTGCTCAAAAGAAAAAGATTGAGAGAAAGAAAGACTGTGTTTGAAAAAATCCAGGAAATATTTCCTCCAGCGCTTCCCTATTGAAGAAACAGCTGGGTAAGGGGCTCATAATGTTGCCTTCTACTCGATTCTAAGACTTCTTTGCCCTTCCTTTCTGGCCAGGTGACTGAGAATGGAACTGCTTTCAACATGCTGGGGAAAAAAAATGGCAGAAGAAGTGAAATCTCTTTTCAAATTTTACAGTATCTAGCCTACCCTTTCCATCTAACAAGTATTCAAGCCAACTAATTTTTCTTCAAAAGTCAGTTGTGAAAAGATGGTTGATCTTTACTAAGGGTAAGAAAAACAGCTACTCTTTTCACCTCGGATGCTCCAAGTTTTCATAAGGTGGGACTCTGTGGGTCGCATGCTTCTCAGCAGCAGATACATACCAAGAAAAATACACGGGGAATACCCATAATCGATCTAGCAAACTGTGAAGTAATATTGAGTTTTGCCTGTATTCTATTTGAAAACATTGAGATCTAGGTTAGTCATAAAGCAAGGGTTGCATTGGCACTCCATTGGCCAAGAAACTGGTTGAATTGGGCTGAAAAGGATGCAAATATTTGCTTAGTTTTGTGATACCTGACATTAGTCTTCTATTAGCAGCTCCCAAAAGACTGGCTTCTTCAAATCTTCTAAATTCAACTCAATCTTCTAAATTCTCTCTTCTGCCTTCCCCCTCCCAGCCCAGGTTGGTTTACATTTAAATCAGTGGTTCTCAACCTGTGGGTCGGGACCCTATTTGGGGTCGAACAACCATTTCACGGGGGTCATCAAACAATGCAGTCCGCCATTTTTTCCCCTTTTCCTTAGCTGTGCTACTCCCTTTGAAAGCTAATAGAATAGACTCTCTTGAATAGAGTCTAATTCTATTGGCTTTCTAAAGCCAATAGGAATTGTCCAGGCTGTCTCTGCCCTGCTGAGCCCGCCAAAAGTCCTATTCTGCAAACGGTGCTGCACCAGTTTAGTAGTCCTCGACTTACGACCGGTTGAGTAGTCCCCGACTTATGACCGGTTGGGGGTCGCGGCATTAAAAAGGTTGAGAACCACTGATTTAAATGATACATTAGCTGTAAAACTAATAACATGTTTTGAATGAAGGTTCATCCCTTATTACTGTTGTTTACATGTATCTTTTGAGGAAGCATGCGTTTGGAGCACTAAACATCACCAACCAGCAAATATTTTCTGGTTTCTATCACGAAATACCATCAATCTGCTTTTCTGGGATCAGACCAAACCATAATCCTGTCCAGAGAATAGCTGAGAAATATATAGAGGAGGAGGAAGAGGAAGGGAAAGGATATTATACTTTGAATACAGTCCTGCCCTGAAATTAGCAACTTGGAAAGGTCATATTTTAGTTTCTTTGGGAAGTCCCCTTTTTGGAACGATGAGGTGGAATAGCTATTAAAAGGAGAGAAAGTGGGGCTTTTAATTTGCATAACATTAACAGCTGTCAATATTTTTCAAACTGTCAGAAATCCCACAGTGGGCATTTTTTCTCCGTCCCCCCCCCCCGGGCCTTTTTTTTTTTTTAAAGGAATTTGGAAAGCATTCTTTGCTCTGCATAGTTACAGATTCTGAGCTTAGAATGGTAAATGTGATTGGTTCCAAGTTCCCAGAATGTAACACATTATAGGCCCATGCAACGTGTAGCTTCAGCAAATTCTTCTTGAAACTATATATGTTTATGACCTGATGCCTTAAATGTCAAGAATTCAGAAGCTCAATTTTTTTCTCTCTCTCTCTCTCCTTTTAAATCAAAAATAATACTCGTGGGTGAATTTGAAAACATCCTTCAGATGGCTTGCCAGACATATAGCAAAGGACTAGTTCTGATGCCTCATTTGATCTATTTATTCTTCTAAGTGGCAAATAAAGAATCAGAGAAGGGGAAACCACAATGAAATCTCTCCTGCATGTATTCAATTCTAATTCAGTTTTTTTTTTTTTTGTTTTTTTTTTACTTCTGCCATGGAGACTTCTCCCTTGATGGAATAACTTCCAATTCAGGAAATCAATGGGGTCACATTTTTGGAATAAACTCCCTCGCATGTTTTTGAGATATGCAGTTTGAATGGGGTGGATTTGTGAATTGCAAACTTGAGAGGAATGACATAAGTTGTCTCTCTGACAACCCATAATATTTGTAAGCTGCTTACTCTTGTTTTACCCGTTGAGGCTCATTAGACATCACTTAAGACTATGTGCTTTTGCTCAGAGAAGACTTTTTCTGCTTGATGCTGTGCTCTCAGAATTTATGTTGGCTCTCACAAACTGAAGCATTTCAGTACATGTGCAGCTAGCCTTCAAAGCATTTCTTTCTTGATAGAAGGAGTAGCATCCATCTAGCAAAACTGTGAATGCAGTTATATGCTCCCCACCCATCTCCAAACTGGAGCTGACACATCGGATTATCACTTGCTTTGGGGTGACAATTCCCTTTAACTGGGCGATTGGAATGTTGACACTTCTTTTCCTGCAATGGTTCAACTCATGCTTTTGGCAGTCCTTTCTGTTCTTGAAGAGTGTAAAGTAGACATTAAAAGATGGATTAATAGAATCCTCAGATCTCCAAGGTTGTTGCATTTTGCATTAGAAGGGGTTCCAGAAGGACTAAGAGCCTATTTCTTTGCTGATGAGTTATATGGTAATCAAAGGAGGGGAAACAAACTTAACTAAAATAAGTCACGAATAAAAAGGGTATTAAATTTCTCCGTGGATATTGGAGTCCCCAAGTGGTGGCTCTTAAACACATCAACTTTCAAATCTTCCCACAATCAAAATCCATCATGCCAAAACTATATGGCAATTGTGTATATCACATGTTGAACTTCTTCACCCTGGCTAGACAAATTGACAACCCCATATACTCAGACAAATCTAGAAAAAAATATCCTGCCATTTGGTGACTCCAAAAATCATACTTTACTGCAAAATAGTAACTATATAAATATACTCAAGAATAATAATGATTTTGGATTTTTACATTTTAATATATGTGTCTATCATATTCATTATATCATTTGATGATCACACTATTTTCAATAAGAAAACGGAAACAGTAAGTGGTTTAATTTTTGAAAATAATGAAAGGTTATTTGCCTGATGAGGACTTTCAAAATTTCCCTATAAAAATATAACTACATATTGGAATAACTCACTGGATTTTTTTTTTATTTGAGTGTTATATCCTTATATAACATAAAGAAATTTGAAGGAAAAAAAAGCACGTTTGGCTAAGGCTTAACAAAGTGTCCAGTGTCTTTTCCTCAGTTCAAATGCTGAAAAGTTTGCAAGTTACCACATCAGTTTAAAAAAAAAAAAAAAAAAACCAAATCAGAATGCTAAAACATTGGAGCAGCAAATGTCCCAATCACATATTATAAATACAATCCTCTTATATAACTGCTAATCTAATTTAAAAGTACATGAATGTAATTTTTTTCTGAATGGCCTGGACCACATTAAAAGGCCACACTCTTCCACAGAAGCACCATTTATAGTCAATAGAGGTCCATGCTCTAGAACAAAGAAGACATTTATCCCATGGTTTTTGAAAGCCAGATTTTCTAACAAATATAACTAAACTTATTTAGTCATTTTGTATGGGGGTTTTTTTTTTGTTCTGAAATGGTCTGAAAGAAGGATTCTAAAACTTACCACACAAGTCAGGTCTCTTGATATATCCACTACTTCCTGTGCTACTACTCAGTCCATTAAAGGCTGCTAAGCCATCAGAGCTGTAGGCTCTTAGGACCGACAGCATGTTTACTTGCTTCTCCAGGACTTGTGGGGTTGACGTTGCTTCGGGTTTCATTACTACTTGTGCAGCTTCGTGGGGGGAAAGCAGGCTCAAAGTGTGCCATTGCTTTTCAGAAGACGGCAACGGTGAAATGAGTCCTTGTGAGTTTTTGGAGGCTACAGAGCTTTGATTGCTGTCTCCTCTGTCAATGCTATCTTTGCTTAGGTTGGGCAAAGGTTGGTTCATAAGGTCAGATTCGGGTTCAAGATCCTCCTCATCAATGGCTTCTTCCTTGGAAGACTCCATATCTTCAGAGGATGCAATGTCAGACAGGTCATCAGTAGCATTTTTATTAATGGGGTCAGAATGCAGCAGAGGTGGGTCATCTTCAGATTGGGTTTTGAGGTCCATGTCGGCAGTGGTACAAGAGTTATGTGCTCCACCGACGCCAGAGTAGACACCAAATTGCTTATAGAAGTCAGCTGCAAAATTATAAAAAGTGGAGTCCACGTGGCCAGGCCAAGAGGAATTCTTTTGTTCTCCAGAATCCTTGGATCCCTGGATCATTCTTTCAGAAGCCTCCACTTGACCTATCAGATTTGAAACGGCGGAATCTTTATTGGACTGTAAAGAAATTGGCAGCAGGTTGGCTTTATTTGTTGAAGCCACCGACTCTCTAGGTTGGTCTTTACCATTTCTAATTGATCCTAAAACACCATCTTTAAGTTTTGCTTTACCTAAGTGATTGGCTTGAAGGTGAAGAGCCATGAGTTCCATAGAAGAGGTTGTGAAGGAACAAAACAAGCAGCCGTGCCAAGCAATATTGTCTTGAATAGTAATTGATGAACCTGGAAGACTACCTGCATCTGGCCTTACAGAGAGATCAAGAGGTTCGTACTGGGATTTTTCTGCTTTTCTCTGCTTAATGGGCAACTTCTCCTCACTAGTCTCTGAACCCAAAAGTTTTGCAGAAAGGCAATCAGACAGGACTTTCTCTTTCTTTCCTTTTTCTTTCTTTAAGGAACTGAGGACAAAGCTGTCCATAAAAGCTTGAAGAGACCCTTGAAAGTTCACACCATTTCCAACCATATTATGATACGCTCGGCCTAGGTCAGAAAAACGTGTCGCTTTGGAAGGTGTGTCAGAACCCTTCATATTATCTGAAGAAACCTCAGAGGAGATACCAATTGAATGACCTGGATGATCTCCTGGAGAAAGCATTGCTGGTGACCACTGTTGAGATCCCATCCCACTTCGGAAATCTATGCCAGGAAGACCCTTGAAAGCTCCTCTCAGTATTTCAGGTCTAACAAACATGGATCCTTTACTTGATGTTTCTTCTTTGTGCTCTTGACTATGAGACTGTCCAGAGAGTGATCCAGCCCCATTCTGCCGCTCCCGGTGATGTCGTTCCAGGTGGTATTTCAATGATGCAGACTGGGTACCAGCATAATCACAATGGGGACATTTGTAAGGTTTCTCACCTGCAATTATCAAAAGGCAAATTTACTGGACAAAAAAACCAAAACAAAACAACAACAAAAAAAGAGCTTTACACTTCTACAACAATAACAGTTCCAAATGGCCACCAGGATCCATTTTCCCCCATAAGATAATTTCTTCCTTAATATGAAATTAAAATTTAAGGGTTTTTCCCCCCTTTAAACAGCTTTCTACAAGCTTGACACGCTATAAGCACACAATCAACCATCTCTTCTTTAACCTAATATGCTAAAGCTGCTGTAGAATTAGAAGATATGATTATGAAAATGAAGCAACACCATTCCACACAGTGATCATTAAAAGTACAAGCAGAGGGCAGTGGGTGGGGAGGAGAGAGAGAGAGAAAGTATATAACAAATGGATGACTACAATGTTTTTTCTGTATACAATAGCACTAAAATTTGTTTAAATTATACACATGGAAACCATTTTTAAACCTAAAAATTTTATGGCACTGTTACGCAAGACTGAAATGAATGATTTAAGTCTTGCTCTGCAGTAAATCATGGATATAATTAGCAAATGGCATTCTGCACAAGTAATTTATCATTATTTGGAGGGCACCATTCCAGAAGGATTCAAGGATCTGCAGACCTGCTGCATTGTTTCCAAATAAAGAACTATAAATATGGTTTATATAAAATATTAATGCAATTTTAGTGCATTGCAACTGCATCAGGCTAAGAACATATAGTTAAGATAAAAGGCAGTCGATAAAAATTAAAGAGAAAAAGAGTAATAAAAAGGTACAAAATAGATTCTGTTGCCCTGAAATTAATATTATCTACTTTTTTTTTTCAGTGCTTTAAATTTGCACTAATGGTTCCTCTTTTGCTTTAGTGGTAAAATCTGTAATTTACCTACAATAAAACCTCTTTGAAAGAATAAGGGTTGGCTTAAGCTGCGTTTTAAAATACATATGATATTTTTGGGTTATACATTTCCATCTCAGTGCAAAGCCCATATGGTTCTTTGATTTTGATTTCAAAGAAATGTAGGTGTCCTCCAGCACATATGTGAAATATTTACAGGCATTTACACATGCACACCCCAAAAAGAAAAGCTGGGTAGACAAACAGGAATGTAAATATATATATATAGGGGTGTTGCTTGAGTGGCTATCAAGGGATTCTTTAAAGACCTGAAAGCTGGACTTGTCACTGAAACAGACAGCAGTCTGACAGTCTTAGAAGCTTCTTTTAATGGTGTTCTGTCAATAACAACAATTATTTTTCTGAGCAATCTGAATAACAAGGACATTTCTTTCTTCTCTGAAATGATTTGAACATTAAGACAAGCCATCTGTAAACTGTGTACCCTAACATTATTTCTTTGTTTTCTACTTCTCTCCTTTGTCCCCATGTCAACAAAAAAATAATAAAAAGAAATACATGACATATATATATATATGTAGGTCTTTGGTTATTCGGGTTTTCTCCCACGTAGAATTGGAAGTGTCTTGGCGACGTTTCGACGAAGTCCCATTCGTCATCTTCAGGCTGGTGTTTTCAGCTTCGTGCTTCGAGGAGCAATGTATGGTCTTAGTTGTTTCTTCCTTTTAACTGCCAGTGGGGGTATGAACTGATTGGGTGGGAGCTTGGCTGTGTTCTGATTGGGTGGAGGTGTGTTCTGATTGGTTAGGGGCTTGGCTGTGCTCTGATTGGCTGGGGGGTTGGCTGTGCTCTGATTGGCTGGGAGGTTGGCTGTGCTCTGATTGGCTGGGGGAGTGTTCTGTTTGGGTGGGGGCCTGAAGATGACGAATGGGATTTCGTCGAAACGTCACCAAGACACTTCCAATTCTACGCGGGAGAAATAGGGAATTTCAGATTGCCCATTTAACTGTCCAGTTTTAATGAGGGGTCTTCTCCAACTCTATCCAGAAAGTGGTCTCTTAAGTCTTCGTGGACTTGGGCTCCTTTAATCTATCCCGGAGTATCATTTATTCTCAAGAATTAGAGTTACTAATATATCAGTGGATAATGAAATGAACAAGTAAATGTCCCTTGAAAGATTCTAATACACACGCTGAACACTCTGTGTGCATTCTTAAAAGCCATTCAATCAATTAATAAGATATTGATAATCTATTTCATCAATGGCAAGAGAAGGTATTTTCAGAAAAGAATTGCAGCATGGTTTAATTACTTCATTATTCTGCCTGTTCCTACTCAGTAATTTCTTTTATCATTCTAATCACTCACTTCACACTTTTGAAACCAAATGAATATCAAAGGTTCTGTGGGATTATTTTTGGATCGTGCACATGTTCCCCACAT